TAATACCATTAAGCCTATGGCTTAATGCTATTAATTTAAAGATAAAAATAAAAGTCATCAATAATAATTTGGTCATCTTCATTGATGACTTTAATAGTTATTTTTTTCACTTGTAATGAAATAAAATACATCACATCATCCGAACTACTTGCATACGCTAATTTAACTTTATGAATGTCTTTATTAAGAAAATAATAAATATCAAATAAATTAATTGATATAACCAACGAGTAAACAAGTTATATGTAGCAATTACATCGTATTCAATAAATAATTTTAATGGTTTATTTGTTTGATGTAATTTATCTAACTCACTTAAATTAAAAATATATGATATTCCATTATTAATATTAATATGATCAATTTCAAAATAATGTATGTTATTTAATGTGTAAGACTTATAAACTGGTTTATATTTACGAATATATTGTTTAACAGTATTGCTATTTTTTATTTTTAATAATCTAACATCACCTAAATTATAAGATAATACAAGGTTTTTAATTTCTATGGGTAAATCAAAAAAATATCATGTAATATAATATATTGAATTATTTAATTATTTAATTATTTTATTATTTAATTAGAAATTTTCAAGTATTGAGAAAACGGTTTCATAAACATTTTATCTGGGTTCTTTTCTAAAAGGTCAATATATAAAAAATTATGCGGTTCATCAGTGGCAGTCTCATATATTTTATAAATTAGTTTCTTGCTTTCATGTAAATTATCGCTTCTAACAATTGCTGATAATTCATCTTGCAATATTTCTATCTCTTTGAAGTTTCTAACTTTATAATAAAACAAATGACTTACATTTACCCTAATAATTGGTGGTACGGTTGATGATTTTTGAAGACTGACAAGTGTTGATATTCCACTATGACGACCTCTACAAAATAAAGAATTTAACCATTTGTTATTTCTTGTTATTGCTGGATTATCAGATACATCATCCAATATAACTAATATATTGAATAACTTCTTCATTCCTTGTTTTTTCTGATATTCAATTATTTTATTTTGAGTTTCTATAACTCTTTCTAAATCTTCAACATTGAACTCATCCCACCAACACGGTTCTTTATCATTATCTACTTTCAAACCTTCTTTAATGTATTTTTTAACAGGCAACCAAATACTATCCAAATTTACAGATGGAGACCAGATAAAAATTATTTCAAATGCTCCTCTATAAATATCAAGTATCATTGATACAAGTAAAGTTGATTTTCCACTTCCAGATGGTCCGACAATCATAGCTCTCATAGGCAATTTAGGGACAACCTCATGCTTACTTTGCTTAAAGTCATATTTGATTTCATCAATTGGTTTTACATCAGGCATAATAAAAATAATATTATAAATACTTATAAATAAAAATATAATATAATTATATCATAATGTCAAGAGAATATATTGATTTAAGTGAAGTGGCTAGTATCCGGACTATATATAAATTTGGTGATATCTTAGTTCCAGATACTGGCCAACTATATTATGATACGATTTTATTGTTTTTATCGATAATTGAAAAACAAAATATTATAATATCTAAATCATCAATCGAAAACGAGGATACCCTAAATTATAATAAATTAGTAAATTTTATGAAAGATTATTCCTATATATATATACAAATGAAATGATAAATAGTGTACAAGAAATTATTAATAATAATATTATAGATGTTAGTATATCAACTGCAGTAAAACTTACTAAAGAAAATAGCTTAAATAAATATTCTATTTAATATTAATGGACCATCGTTTTATGATATGATTGGTGGCGAATATCATAAAAATGGAACAGGTTTTCCATTGATTCAATCAATAAGCATTGAAGCCAATTAGTTTGAGAAAGAAAACCCCAGTGCTGTGCCCTCCGAATATTCTATCATGCATGAAAATAATAAGATTAAATAAATATTTTATCTTATTATTTATATGAATAGGAGTTATTCAGATTATATTGATATAATAAATGAAGTAGAACATATAGAACGGGTTGTCATAACTGATAATAGATGTAAAAAAAAATATGTTATTGTATTTTAGAATTAATTAAGTTTTTGATACAATATATTAAAAATATAAATATTAATATAAATGGGAAAAAAGAAAAACAGAAAGAATAAAACAGATACTACAGTTTCTTCAACTGATGAAGAAAGAGAAGAAATTGTTAAAGAAACAGCATTAATTGAGTTTTCTTGTCCGATGTGTAAAAGGGTGTTAGAGATTAAAAATGAATTAGAAATAAAAAAAAAATAATAAACAATGTAAATGTTCATGTATTCCAACAAGTTTCAAAATTAGTAAAAATGATAAGAAAATGAATATTGATAAAACTAAAGACAGTATAAATCTGGAAACGGATGTTCATAGTATAACTTTTAAATGGGGTAAGGATGCATCACTCTCGGAAAATGGTGATAACGAAACGCAGGAAACTATTAAACAAATGATGAAAAATTAGTATTTAAAGAGTAGATTTAACATAATTGCACTTTATAAATATATAATTAAATAAATAATTATCTAAATAAATATATAGTAATGTCTGAAAATGAAAATTATACTATTAATGATTTAATGAAGAAGATAACATTAATTGGTAAAAATATCAAAACTTAAATGATATGATATGATTAAATCCATTGATGACAAAATGAAACCAGTTGAAAGCGAACAGCAGGAGAAGGAAAAAATCGAAAAGATATTTCAAGCAAAATCTATAGGAAGACCATCGGGTGATTATCCTACAAAACAAAAGAAATACTGTGAAATGTTGAATACAGGAAAAATCAAACAACCTAAAAGCACCACTTTAGAATTTTACTAAATTTCAAAAAATGATGATGGAGTATATGTATTATTTGAATAATTAATATCTAAGTAATTCTAATAATATGAATTTATTAGAATTATTTAGCGGAACAAAAAGCGTCGGAACCATAGCAAAGTCGCTTGGATTTAATGTAATATCATTAGACTTGAAAAATGCTGATATCAACACTGATATTTTGGAGTGGGATTACAAGCAGTTTGACAGAAACCATTTTGATTTTATTTGGAGTAGTCCCCCATGCACTGAATATAGTTGTAGCAAAAACTAGGGGAACTAGGAATATCGAATATGCAAATAATATTGTCTTAAAAACTATTGAGATTATCAAATATGTCAATCCTAAATATTTTGTAATCGAAAATCCACAAACTGGATTATTAAAAAATCAGGAGTTTATGGATGAGTTTGATTTTAAAGATGTAGATTACTGTAAGTATGGAATGTCTTACAGAAAGCGCACTAGGCTCTGGAATAACATTACAACTTGGAAACCGAGACATTTATGTAAAAAGGATTGTGGCAACATCAGGAATAATAAACATATTGAAACAGCCCAACGGCTTCCATCGGGCACCAAGGAAAAATGGGGAGACAATCCAACAATACATAAGCAAGAAGATTTATACAAAATACCTAGCGAATTAATTTGTGAAATCTTAGTGAGTTTGACGGATTAAGGATTTAGGTTTGGGGTTTGGGCTCAAACTGGAAATTTCTAGGCTCATCCAACGACAAAACAGTAAAAAATAGGAACTCCTTTTCACGGCTCTGGCGCACATCCATTGGTTTGCCGACCGTTGCCCAAGACACGGTAAAAATCTTAGGGCGATTAATCATGGAGGGAATTTCCAAAAAATCGAGGCACGATTATTCAAAAATCGGCTCATGAATTTTAGGGGCTGTGTTTTTTCATTCCGAAAATCATGTGTTGATTAACCAAGGGTGGATTAAGCATGTGTTGATTAATGATGGGCTGGTAGCTCATTGCAATGTCATGTGCAAACATAATCAATATGAATTTGTTTATCCATACTTATAATTTGTACAAGATTGAAATATTGACTAAATGACTTAAAGGAATAAAGACTTAATATAATAAGAGGAAAATGCCAATGATAGGAGTGACAGAAAAAGAGCTGGAACAGGATAGAAAGATAATATTGAGTTTCATTAAGGATAATCCCTATCCATCGTATAAACAAGTCATTGAAATAATTAAAAACGATAAAACAATGGAAGATATATATCTAGATATGTTCGCCGAGTATGGAGAACAAAATCATCAATGGATAAAAGAGATTTACGAAAACATAATGAAGAACTCGTTAAACATAATGGTAATAGTATTAATGAAAGAGGAGGAATGACAACAATGCATTTTAATTATTATACTTTGATATCAGTGTTGCGTTATTTGATACAACAAAGAGCACCAATGAAAGATTATGACGTTAACTTAATCTGGTATAATATCAGAAACATTTTGAGCAGTTCTTGGAACAACATAGGAGACTGGAAACACTGAAAATAGGTTTAATCATATTATAATTAGCACATGTAAAATATTATATGTTATAATTGTAATATACTTATTGTTTGTAAAGATTGAATTATTATATTTTCCTAATTTGCTTATCTCTTTCAAAGTGCGTTGTTTAGACTTGGTATGCTTCTTCAGTTTTTTCGTGCTTTGGCTGTTTGTTTTTATTTTTTTTGATACTCTTATGACATGTTTTGTCGGTATGTTGCTTTATTTTTTGTTGATGTGTGTTTTTGAGTTTGGGTTCTTTGATGATTTAGAGTGTTGCTGTTTTGTTGGTATGCTTGTTTGAATTATTTAATGTTGTATGCTGTGATTAAATATTTTTGTTGTTGGTTGTGATTATTTATTTTGTTTGCTTGTTGTTCTGGATTTTGTTTTCTGTTTGTTGTGTTGCTGTTGAAGAAAAAATAGTAGAAAGAATAATTCTTTGAATTCTCCTTTTACTATTTTTTTTTTGGGGGGGGTAGCAACACGGAACACGAGACCATATACATAGATATATATATATATATATACATGAATGTGTATATATATATATATGTATACACACCAACTTTTCGCTACGCGAAGCGAGCTAAAGAAAGCGCCCAACCGCAGGCCGCGGCACATGTCTCGCACAAAGCTGCTGCTGGGAAGTCCGAAGAGCAGCACCTGGCTTGGCAGCTGTTGCACTGCATGGCTCACACACCCCGACTCCCCGACTTCTAGGCCAGACAGCTGCGAGGAAAAAGCAAGCGCCTTCGCATAGGCCAGAGAGTCTCCAGGCACTGCGGGAGCCATGGGCGGACCGCGCCAAATAGGTTTCTATCCGATTTGCTGCGAACTCCTGTCCGTCACAAGCCCTAAATCTAGTCATCTAATTGCCGCAAGGCGTCCTAATCACAAAATCCTTTGGCTTGAAGCGGCACTGTCGCTCGCCCAGCCAAGCCGCTCCTCTGTGCAATGACTCTGATTGCCTTTAGGGCTCCACGTGCTTGGTGAAGAATGCCAATAACATGAGCTACTGTATAATATCTTAGCCATGGGCGGATGCTCTACAACATCTCAGATGTGAATCAGCTGCTTCGTCCATGGCACGTGTCCCAAGCGGTTGTGGAGTCATGCACCGCGAGAACCAAGACTATACTACACCGGCTCACTCAAGTTGTTGTTGCCATAGCACTAGCCTGCCCCCCACTGGGCTCAGTCTGAACGCGATCCTTCGCAAAACGAATGGCTTGGCCGATGTGCTTCAGCTGCAAGTCATCGAACAAGCCCTCCTCCGTTTCCTGCACGTCATGCGCCAATGCTGTCGCTGCCCAGTCTGACACTCTTTCCGTCGTCTTCCGCCCGTGACCAGAGTGAAGAAGACGGATCACCAGGCGCAGCAACACGTCGTGGGCCAGCTGGGCCGACGCCCCCCGCCACTTCTTCAAACACGGCAAAACCTTCTCGTCCACTTCCTCCTGAGTGTCAAGGGCGCGAACCCCCAAATTCTGGTTTTCAGCCTGGTTTCTCTTGAAACCAACCTCTAGAAAAAGCACGCGCACATGTATATACACACACAACACACACACACACACACACTCTCCTGGTACCTGTCCGGCATGGAATCCAACACCTCCTCAGCCGCCTGCAGCTCTACCACTTCAAAGAGGTGCACCAAGTGCTGCACCTTTTGCCAGCCCCTCCATGCGCTAACCTTAGAACCCCAACATTATTGTATAAAATATCACCACATTTCCAACGTCCCATGTCCTCTCCGTCCCCAAATAAATAGTCAACCACGAAGTCCACCAGTCCACCAACCTTTGACTCGTTTTAGCCCCCAGACCTGCAGCTCCCGGCAGGGCGGCTGGCTCACCAGGCCCTGCAGGGGGGAGGCCTTCAGCCAGCGGCGGCAGAAGTCCGCCAGGCCCAGGCCGGGTGCCGGGGCCAGGCGCCGCAGCACGGAGATCCCCGCCTCACGACCAGCTGAGTGGCACAAAGGGGGTGGACGGACATGAGATCCGCCAGGTGGTTGGATGAATACAACGTGTTCTTTTCCTTTTTCTTCTGCCCTGCGCTGTCCCTTTTTTTTCCCGGGCTTCCATGGGATTTCTCGAAATGGGGGCCCCTTGTTGCCACGTTTTTCTCGGACATCGCAAAAAGAAGGGCCACCGGCCACCGGGCCCCACCCACAGCTCGCCTGCAGGAAGGCCATGAGCTCCTCGGGCTTCGCGGCCTGCAGCAGGAACCTTCGCGCCGCGGCCGGGCAGGGCTGCTGGGGCACCTGGTCGCAGGCCGCCGCCAGGAAGCAGTAGTCGTTCACAAAGGCCTCAAGAGCAAGATCCAGATCCGGAAATCGGATCCGGATCGAGGCTTCGGGGCGGTTTACTTTTGTTGCTTTAGATCCGGAAATCGATCGGTCGAGGCTTCGGGCGGTTGATTGTTGTTTTGCCGTGCTTTTGGCTGGTTTGCGGATTTTTGGGGTGCTCAAAGGAGCCGGAGAATGGCAACGTGGCGGGTGGGCCATAAATTATGTGGTTTCCCTCAGCTTGGGGAGTGCTTGTAGCTCATTCTGATCACTCCGATCACAAGCATACCCAAGGCCTCGCCCCTGAATGGGAAGGGCTGCAGCACCGGCTCCAGCAGCACCGCCTTCTGCAGCAAGCGCTCCGCCACCCGTTGCTCCATCAGCGCCCAGTCGAAGATGCAAGCGCTGCCTGGCGCTCGTGGCTCCGTTCCCAAATGGGACCACGCGCACGTGGATATTGTTTGGTGGGCCTTTTGGTAGACATCATTCAGGAGATTTATGTCCACCAGTGTCGAGGGCTTTTCTTCTGGGTGTCTCTCTTTTTGAGGGCACCCGTCTTGCTTGAATGTGGGTGTGTACCAAAAACAAATGGGGTAATGGGGGGTCCAACAAGTTGTGGGTTTGCTTTGTGTGGTTGCCGTTTGACCCCAAAATGTGGCCAGCTTCATAGAGAATGGCTTCAATACGTCTTGGCACCAGATCCTTCCCTTTGTTCCGAAACAAAATATATACCTTTTCCCCAAGAAAAAAACGTAGCACCTGTGGGAGGAGGGTACCTGCAAAATCCGTTTCCCTTTAAAGGGACCCCCTGTCAGGTGCCGTCCTTGTGAAAGGGTGAGCCCCGCCTGGGGTCAGCAGCTCAGGCCCTTCCGAGCGCTGGGCCTCCCACCCAGCGAGGGCCCCAGCGCTGCCAAAGTGCGCCAGCCACGTCAAGTCCTGTCCGGCGGCTGACGATACAGCAACCCCTGGTTTTGTGGTGGGCTTCCTGGTCACCCAGTTGCTTGGCTTCCTTGTGGGGCTCCTTGGGAAACCAACCTAAAGGCAACCCAAAAATATGACCCACATCAACTCGACCGGAGTGAACCCTCCGCACCTCTGCCTGCACCAGGTGGTGGCTCTGGATGTCTTCAACACCCACAGATGGCAAAGACACCTGGCAAACTGCTTGCTCATGCAGGTTGCAGTAACACCAAACACATTCAAGTTAGAGACCATTCGCAGCGGCAAAAACAACGCCTGGCCCTTGTGGAACCAGTACTCGCAGGCGCTGCGGACACGCCAGGCGCTGGGCCCATTCTGGCCCGCGATCTCCAGGGCCTCTAGGGCGAGAGGCCCGGCTGAGCGGCCGGTAGCGCCGCGTGCAAACGGGTGGGAAATGCCTGGAAACCCTCCTAAACACATCCTTGGTGCGAGGAAATGCGCGACAACTGGCAAAAATTTCAGCGGGTTGCTCGCCAGGTGAGAGAAAACCCCCCGTAATGATGCGCCTCCAATTTGGCCGCCTCCAAGCGCCCTGAAAACAGATCATGTTTCGACCAGGGCGCTCAGAAGGCGTTTCGCTCAGCCCCGCCTGCTTGAGAAACTCGTTCTGCCGGTCCACCAGGCTGTTGACCAGCGCGTGCACGTAGGAGCCCTCCTGCGTCCTGTCCGGACAGCTCAGGGCCAGCGGGCTCTCCAGCGTCACCTCCCTCAGCACCGGCAGCTCCGCGCAGTCCCGGCGCGCCAGGAAGCCCTCGGCAGCGCACAGCGCCCAGGCCCTTTGGACAGATTCCGCTTCGCAGCCCGCGAAAAAATGGAATGACAACAACATCCAGGGGGGCAAGACTTGAAACTTGGAACCTAGGCCACCGAAGATGGGGAAGACGTTTTCTCCCTGGCTAAGTTGGGTTGCCCGCAAACACCCGCCTTTGGAAGGCCTCGAAGAGCCGCCGCCCGTCGCTCCCGCATCGCCCGCTTCGCCCGTCGACTTCCCGCACAGACACGTCTGCCAGCGCCTCCCTGATCCGCGTGGCGCTGGCCTGGCCGCGGCTCAACTGGAACTCGAAGTGGCGCCTGACCGCCGAGCCGAAAGCCGAGAGGGAGGAGAGGCAGAGGAATCAGAGGGTTGGGAGGGAGGGAGAAATGGGGAGGACTAGGTGACAAGGCAAAGGGAGTTGTGCTAAAAAAAACAAAACGAGAGACCCGTCCCTGTCAAGTCTTGCGCCTCACAAAGCGCAGCCACTCCATGACGCTGGCCAAACAGCCCACCAGTTGCAAGCCGCGGGCATTCAGCACGGCGTGCAAGAGCTGGAACTTCTCAGCCAGCGCAGATTTTGACTGGAACTGCAGCTCCAACCTGTGCGGAGCCAACAAAAGTCGCGAGCGGTTCCGACTCAAGCCTGTGGCCTTGATTTCGCATCTGCGTACCGGTGAATTCCATTCATGGCCACACCCAAGGCATAGTTTGGGACCCCCAACCCTGGAACCATCCCGGCCTGCTCAGCGAAGGCATCTCCACCAAACGCATCCATCGGCAGAGGGCCAGAGGCACCTCGTTGGAGGAATCCTCCGCAGGCGGAGGCTTCGCCCGCTCCATCTGCCGCGCCCGGTTTGGAGTGGTCATGAAGCGGCAGAGGACTGCGGGTTTACCTGCAGGGAGCAGTGGCCAACACACCGACCGCTAGCGCCCGTCCCAGCCATCGTGCCCCTCAGCACGCAACGCAAGTTCGGGAACCAGGCTGCTTTCACCTCCGGCCTGCATAGATCTGCCAGGGTTGGCTTCTCTCAAAATCTCGATCGTCTCCCCAGACCGGCGAATAGTCCGGGAAGCTTCGGCGTGGGAAGGGAATGGCCTCCACAAGGAAAAGGCCTTGACGCTGCGCCAACTGATCCACTCGCCACTCCTTGAACTGGCTACTCAGCAGTCCGATCCAAATGCTACCGTCCCCTGTCAGCACTGACCGTGTGCTCTTGAAGACACCCTCCAGCAAAGCTGTGTGCAGGCTGAGTCGACTCTCAGCAGGCAGCTTGCCAACATTGTCCAAATAGGTCCCAGCATATGGGAAATTGTAGATCACGGCGTCGAACTGCTCGCCCGCCAGCCTGGAACTCTGCAAGGTCGTCGCGTCAATGTAGTCCAGGACTCTCCCTCCGGCTTGCTCAAGTTCCTTACGTCTGAGGCACGCTGGGAGCGACACGCTCACCGAACATCACACATCATACGTCCATGTGCTGGCAAAGCAGCCGAACGATTCCTGTCGACTGCATCTGTGTAGCCTTAGGTGCTGGATCTTTTCAACAACCATTGAAATCAACTCCAATCACAACTTCTACCAAACCGGTCACTGAGCCTGTTGCCACCGGCCAGCCTCCCCCTAATGTTGGCTCAGGATTTTCTCAACCCGGTGCAAGGGGAAAGTTCCCATCCTCCAAGAAAAGCCCAAGATTCCGACTCTTCAAATAGAACCCCATTGTGACTGTTCCACCCATGACTTTCATCCTGGGCGTCCCCCGTCCCCCGCCCCTTCCGACCCCGCGATCCAAGCGTCGCGAGCGCACCACGGGGAAGGCCTCCAGCACCGTGGCCGTGACCTCCAGCCCGCGCCGCGCCAGGCACTTGGCGAAGCTCAGGTCTCCGGCGCCCAGCTCCAAGGCCCTCAGCCCAGCGATCGATCCGAGGGGGGGGGGAGGCGGTCCGGTTTCGGTGGCTTGGGGTGGCTGGTGAGTTGCAAATAGGGTTTTCCCAGAAAAGAAATGGAAGGAAGGACGAAGCAAGGCTTCTAGAAGGGAAGTTGCATTCAGATGTACCCATGCCTGTTCGTTTGGGAGGCTTGCTTCCACGGGTAAAAAACAGAAAGCAAGGCCAGGCCTTCGAGCAGCGAGCAGTTCGAAGTCTTGCACATCTGGAGCCGGTCCTCAAACAGAAACTTAGGCGCGGCGCAACATCTATGAAGCACGCAAGCACCAGAAAAAAGCTGTGCAACTCAGCGCCAAGCTGTGTCAATCAATGCCAATCCATGCCACCCCTATGGCAAACCCGCTCCCCAAACGCTTCAAACCAATCCGCAGAATCCACTGGGTGTCCCCATCGAACCTCGAACCCCCCCCCCCTTTCGCCTTCCGCCTGCCAGGGTCGTGCCGGCTGCGCGCCCGGCGGCGCCACGTGGTCCGACAACAGCAAAGGCAACGCCTGCGGCGACCGCGACCAAAAAGGGCAAAAGTGCCCTTCTTGCTTTGTGATTTGGGTGGGACCCTGTGAACAATTACAGGGAGTTGTGTCCACCCAACCGTGGAGGGCGTGCCCCACCAAAAATAAATGCCAATTAATGTGGAGTCAAGGCATTCTCGCCTGGACATCACCCAGTGAGGCGGCCCAGTTGAGCTGCGAATCGAAGTCCGCCCGCTGCGCCCTATCCAAGCAAGGCTCCACCACTACCTGCCGGCTGCACCAGGGACAGAGACTCTGGGATCAAATCTGTTTGGTCTAACGACGGTGGAGGATGTAAGTCTCGTCAGGCGCTGATCTATCAGGATTCTATGAGGCAACAGCCAGGGTCACGGCTACAACTCAACGTCAGTGCAAATGTTGGTGGATGTGCTGACCGTTGCAATACCGAGCCAAAGCTCCCTGCCGCCTGCGCCATCCGCAATTCCCAGGGTCCGCGCTGCGCGCCGGTGAGGCATCCCGCGCCAACAGCACCGCCCGCGTCGTGTGGAAAGAGGAGCCGGCCTACATGTTGAACAACATGCTTGTGGGGTTTCTTTGCGTTGCCGTTTTCGAGGGTACCCCTGTTGATGGTTCCCTTGAGGGGAACCAAAGGAAAGCCGCCATTTCTTTGGGGGGGGGCTCCACCAGTTTGAGACACTCTCATGCCCAGAAGACCAACTCTTGCACGCCAGCTGAGGCTGTGGCTTGCAATGTCCATGAAGAAGCCGGCAGGTGCGCAGTTCAGGGCTGTGTGCAACACGTGCCAGTCAGCTTCCAGGTGCTCCAGAATGCGGCTGAGAGACAGAGAGGCTGCGCCACGAAAGAGTGAGCCCAGCAGAGCGGAGTGCAGCAAGAAGTGCAATGCGCGGAAAGGCAAAGGCGCCAGAAGGCGCACGGATTGCTGGCGGTCCCTAGATGCAGCGTGGGTGATGTACCCAGCCTCCCCGTGGACTTGGCCTTGCTGGGCCTGTTTATCGAGTCTTTTGTTGTTACGTGTTGCAAACTCTGTGCCGCCAATCGTCTTGTGACACTGCGGGCAGCTGCTTTCCTGCACTGCATGACCACAGTCTGCCACAATGTACCGGTAGCCACACGGGCACTGATACCTGGTGTGTCCCCGGTGATGAGCATCCCTGTAGCCATCCATCAGCGCCTTAAGGATGACCTGCCAACGGAAGGGAGCAAACAGAACAAACCCACAAAAACAACCCAAGCAAACATCTGTCCTAGCGCTTTCGGTTAAGGGTGGCTTCCCGAAAATCCAAAATGACCGCACCCTGCCCTTAAAAAGGGGCCCAACTCGCCTGCTCCTCGTCCTCTGGCATGGCTGGCAGGAAGCCTTCCATCTTCCCTGCCGCCACCTCTTTGAAGGGCGCGGAGAAGCCTTGAAGGGGACGGCAGGCTCAACGAAACGAAACCCAGGAATCACAAACAAAACCGAGTTAGTTTTTAAATCGTCCATCCAACCAAAACTGTGCAAAGAACTAACAAAATGACGAAGGCACCCATGTGTGGTGGGGACAACTTCCCAAGTCGCTCCGTGCCACTTCCCAAAGCTGAAAGGTTGAAGGTCCGCAAACGAACATGCATCCAGACTTTGTGACACTCACGCATTGAGGGACAACTCCTGGGCTCATTCAGCTGGATGAGTGGCAACCGCATGTTGCCCTCTTGACTCAGCTGAATCACGAGCTTGGGCCCTGATCCTTCGTGGGGAAACGTGCCACAAAAGCCGCTCCTGACGTCGGCGCATCGAGCAGCGCTGCCGCCAGATGCAGCGCCGTGAGCAGCGGCAAAGGCGAGACCTCGCGTGGCAAACCGCCCAAAGGCCCCCCTCAAAACTTCCATGCGAGCGTTTGAGCATTGCCCTGTAAATGGTGATTTCCCGTTATTTTGGTGGAAAAAGCCATGTTTCAAATGGGCGAAATGTATCTTGTGTGCTTGCAGGGGACCCCAAGAACTGATAAATAGGGAATGTGGGAATCACACTTAAAAACCATCCCTTGTAGCTTCCAAAAAGGGTACCAAGGGGAGCCCTGGCTTCATTGCCACATTCCCTGAGCACCATCAAGAAAAATCCGGCTTTCCGTTCGGAGTTGTTCCCCCTTGAAGCCACCGCCTGCAGTCTGTGCTGCATCTCAGCTGGCAAAATCTCGCGATTCCCCCTGGCAACAGGATGGAACGGACCCCCAGGCGGACGAAGGCTTACATACCATTTGTTCGCTGCTTTCACAAGATCAAGAGAGACACCTGTCACGTACACATACACCGTTCTAACGTGAATCGATTCATCAAAAGCAAGCGGATACGTCGAAAGCGAAGCCTGCAAAGACCAGGCAGCTTCTGCAGCTGCGGGTGCTTCAAAAGCCAGAGCCGCGCCGCCTCCCGCTGCTCAGCACGCGCCTTGCAGGTGCAGTTGCTTGGCCAAAAGCTACCGCTTGCTTCCACCAACATTCGCAAGCCGACTGTTGCCATGCGCAGTTTCCTCAGAATTGTTTAAAATAAAAAAAAATGGCAAGTGGGCAGCGGAGCGCCGCTTTTCAATGCGCCTCGGTGTGGCAAAGGAGGCTGGAGGAGCCCGCGAAGAAGGCGAAGCGCCAGATGGACGCCGAGGCCGAAGCCGAGGCCGCCTCTGCCAGCTCGCGCAGCTGCGGCGTGTCCATCTGCTGGATGGCAGATGTGCTGATGACCTTCCGTGAGGAAAAAAAGCGCGTGGAGAGTGGAGAGTGCGCAAAACTCCAGATGCATCGCACCATATCGAGATTTCATGTTGCTTATACCTTCAAAATTCGACATGAATGAACTTGACCTGTCACAGCCGCGCCTGCGCCGCTTCCACTGCCTCTGGCGCGAAGCCGCCCAGAAACAGTGGCACTGCGCCGGCCAGCAAAGGCGCCGCACCTGAAACTCGTGACATACCCGTCAGCAAAACTGGCTGAGAAAATTCAGCGGACAACTGCCAGCAACAAAACTGAACAAAAAAACACATGTTCAGCGCCAACCCACTCACACGCACCCGGGCCTGGAATAGGAAGCACGCCTGCCAACCAGGGGATGTGTCGGCAGGACTCCGCCACCTGCTCTTCATCGCCCACCCGGCGATGGACCTCCCGCAGCACCGCAGCACGAATCAGAGATGGGAGCACCGCGCCCTCACCTCCCGGCTCGCCTGCCGCGCAAGACAAAAAAATTGGAAGGACTAACGTGGAGGTCAAAGTTGGCATTACTCAAGCAATCAACTCAAATTTGATATTTGAAGCTTTGGCAAATCCACACGTGTCTAAGCCGTTGCTTGGGCTTTGCCCAACTTGATGACTCGGCCTGGCCGGCACACGGCACTCAGCACACCGTCGAGCTCATCCCATTCGCCACCATCCTGCGCACTTTTGGCTGGCGCGGGGAATAGACTTGGAGCTCTGGCCCATAGCTTGCGCCTCTGAGCGGACATGAATCACCAGGCCCGCTAGAACATATGTAAACCTGTTGGGCGGTAGCAAGTCTTCTGGCAACCAGAACATTTACCCTTGGTGAGTGTTCAGCTTCGCAGCGGGGTCCGTCACCTACTCTAAAGTGTACCTGGTTTGACAGCCTCAATCCAAGTGTTATCCAAGTGTTCGCAAGGCCGGTTCTGGGCAAGGTAGCCGGTGGGCCCATGATGGAATTTGGCCGTGGGTCAAAACCAACGGTGCAGGTGAATTCACCACCCATTTTAGAATCTATTTTTTTGGTTGGATTGGGAGGTTCACTGGGGGTACGATTTGGATTTTGACCCCTGGCCATTGATTTTTTTGCCCGCCAGTCCACCAGAGAAACCAACGCCGCCCTCGCCGACGCCTCAATGAGAGAAGCTGCGCGGACTGCGGCCAGGCGCAGCGCGGCCGCTGCCACCACGTGGTTCAGGCGGAAGTTCTCCTTCCTGAAAGCATGGCCAGCGCGAGAGAGGCTCGAAACGCCTTTGAAGAGTCATTGGATGAGGTTTTAAACAGGGATCCTTACATTATACACCTGAACATTCCCTTGTAATTCGTGGTGTCCCTTCTTTATTTTGGTGGAAAAAGCCACATGTTTCAAATGGTTGCAACATGTATCTGTTAAGGAGCCCTGATGACAATCAAGAGTTTCATGCTGTGGATGCAGCACAGGGAAACCATGGCACACCATTGTTCATTGTTTTTTTCCCGAAAGCATCGCGAAGGGCCCTTCCGTGCGGAGCCCTTGGACAAGTTACACAGAGACAAGTTGCACAGAGCCAAGTTGCACAGAGCCAAGTTACATAGAGCCAAGTTACATAGAGCCAAGTTGCACAGAGCCAAGTTGCAAAGAGCCAAGTTGCACAGAGCCAAGTTACATAGAGCCAAGTTACCTAGAGCCAAGTTACATAGAGCCAAGTTACATGGAGCCAAGTTACATAGAGCCAAGTTACATAGAGCCAAGTTACATAGAGCCAAGTTACATAGAGCCAAGTTACATAGAGCCAAGTTACATAGAGCCAAGTTACATAGAGCCAAGTTACATAGAGCCAAGTTACATAGAGCCAAGTTACATAGAGCCAAGTTACATAGAGCCAAGTTACATAGAGCCAAGTTACATAGAGCCAAGTTACATAGAGCCAAGTTACATAGAGCCAGAGCCAAGTTACATAGAGCCAAGTTACATAGAGCCAAGTGGCACAGAGCCAAGTGACACAGAGCCAGGTGGCACAGAGCCAAGGTTAGGTAGAGCTTGCGTAGAGCTTCGGCGTAAGCAGCTATGTAAGTTAGTTTAGGTTTCTAAGGCGCCGAGAACGTGGTGGATTTCGTCCACCATCATGTCTTCTTGTGGAGAGCAAAAGGCATGTCAAAACGGCAGAAGCGTGTGCAGCCTGCCACGCTCACGGAGTTCGCGGCGCTTTGACGCGCCAAGGGCCAAGGTTCGTCATGGAGCGAAGCGATGCCGCTCCGGCTGCAACAGCAGAGGCAGGCACATCCTGGGCACAGCTAGCTTCTCAGTTTCTTTCTGCTCCTAGTGGTTTAATGGAAAACCCATGAGTTGGCAAAAAGTTAAAGTCCTAACATCCAAGCAAAATGCAACAAAGGCTTGAGGGAAGCGAACGGCTAAAATGGTGGTAAGCAACTCGGAAAGTCAGAGCTTGCCTAAGCAGTGAGTGGCACTGTAGCACTCCGTTCAATGTGCAGCCCAGTGGCGGAAAAGCCGAAATGCTGCAGTTCCACGCACAGCACGGCATTCAGAGGGGCTGCGGCGCCTGCCTGTGGGCGTGCCAGCCAAGATCAACCACGACGGCCGGCATGCTGCGCAACAAGATTCCTCTGAAAGTTGACATGTCCACGAAACCGGGAGACAGTCTGGGGTCGGATGGACAGCATCCGCGCCCCTGACCACCAAAAGGCTTCCAATCTTGAGACATGCCTGAAATCCACACACAGCGGACCAATTCGGATTCCCCACAAAGAATGGCCAAGCGCAAAAGCATGGACAGGCCACACCAGCCGTCAGCCGAGATCACGGATCACGCCTTCCTGGCCAGCTGGTCCAAAGCGCGCAAGGAGGTACAGTTCACGGAGGCAGGCCAGCCTGAGCCGAGCCAGGCATCACGAAATCAGTGCCCCCAAAGCCGATGGTACTAGGTGCACCACCCATTCTAGTCTATTAGTGGGGGTTGGGATGTTCACTGAGGGTACGGGGTTTTGACCCATGGCCATATTGCTAGGTAGCAAAATGCATGCTGCAAGCAGAAAGCACGGAAGCGTCTGCTGTGAGTTTGGATTCCTGTGCATCACATACGCTCCTTCCACGAGTCTGCCAGCCAAGCAGCTGCTGTGCCTTGGTCAGTGGCTCAACACTGCGCAACCACATCCTTCCATGCTGGTACAAATCTGACCTGAGTACCTTCTCTGGAAGCTTGCCTGCCGAGATGCTCGAGGACTTGAGTGAAGCACTGGGGATGCTCCCGCACGGCAGATTGAACCAAGCCGCGCAGAAGCATGGCCGTTGCAACCGCGGCCGTACCCGACGCAATGCTCTGCAGCACCCCGTCATAGGCGCCGTGCTCCAACAGCCTCCAGGACTCCCACGTCCCCTTCAAACAGCATCCTGAAGGAAAACTTGGCAAAAGGGCTGAGGTGCAGGTGATGTCCACATCAACCCAAAAAAAATTGGCAAAGGTTACCCCAGCCTCTGGTGCGCGAAGAGGTGGAAGCGCTTCAGCGCGGTGGGGCTCAAGTGGCGCTGCGCGGCTTGCAGGCCCTGCTGCACCAAAGAGGACAGCTGCTCGGGGCGCCGGATGGGCTCCAGGTCGAGGGAGCCCCAGAAGTCCAGCAGATCCGTCGCGTCCATCCGCTGGCTCAGCTCCACCACGACGTGCAGCGCGCTGACCTCCACCACGCCAAGCCTGGACTCCACCGGGACGTGGTCCAAAGCACCGCAGGCAGCCGAAAGCACCCGGGAAGCCACCGGCAGCCAATCCACTCCCAGCTGCTGTAGCGTAAAAGCGGTGGGATGCACGGCAGTGCAGCAGTGCGAAGTAATGAGACGCATCATGCCAGCCATGTCCCCATGCACAAGCTCCCTTTCCTTGCCCTGCATGGCCTGCATCAGCCCTTGCAGATCACGGACGGCTGCGGGCACTGCAGCCAGCTGACGCAGCGCGATGTGCAGGGTGCCCTGGTTCCGCCACATGAATTGGTGCAGCTCGGGGATCCCGCAGTGCCGCATCTGGTCCAAGATGGGCCGCAGGAACCGGCGCTGGTCCGCCTGCGGCAGCGGCACCGCGGTGAGCCGCAGGGCCGCCAGGTCCTCCGCGTAGGCGTCGCGGTGCTCCACGAGCAGCGCCAAGTACGACGCGTTGCCCACGGCCGCCTCCATCGACGCCTTCAGATCCTTTAGCCGCGGATCGGCGCCATCCGCGCCGTCGGCTGCGCCGTCGGCGCCGGCCGCGAGGTGCTCCTCGTAGAGGCCGCGGAACCCGTCGAGGCGATCCGCGAAGATGGCGGAGAAGGGCAGGCGCAGCAACTGCAGGTGCCGGCCATAGGGGTAGCACTCGGGGCCCTTGGGCTCCGGCACGGCCTCCAATTGGGGCAACACCAGGTCCCGGCACATCTCGAACCAGGCCGGTCGGAGGTTCTCACTGCTCAGAGTCCGCAAAGCACAGCTCTTCTCGAGCAAATAGATCAAGGTGGCCGCAGGGCGACGCACCAAATTCCGGACATAGGCCTCGATGCAATCGCTGAAGCTTGAGTGACCTGGCATAACGACTCGTCTGGCAAAACTCACTAAATATGCGGGTGCGCCTACATACCATCTGAGCAAAACCAGGTACTATGAACAACTTGTACACCCAGCCTTGAAGGAGTTGCGTGTCCTTCACAACCTCAGCAGCGACCGCCAAAGTTGAATCTAGCCTGCACCACCTGTTGCAGCACCCAATGCACTTGTGAAACTCTGCATGTCAATTCTCTGAGCATGGCTTGTTGCTGTCAGTAGTCGCTGTGAGGGTCTTTCTTTGACGAACTCTTTTTGGAATTGGTTTGAAGGAAAGCAAAACGGAGCACCCGTATTTCCTTGCTGCCCCCACCCCCCCTTCCCCCCACCACCCCGGCCCACCCCACCACCCACCCCCCCACCCATCCACCCACCCACCCCCCACCCGCCCCACCCGGCGCGGCTTCGTCAACCCGCAACTTTGCCTGGCCTCATACCACCAGGGCCCGCGAGGCCACCGCCTGCGCTCCAGTCGCTTCAGGCAGATCTCCTTCAGCAGAGCCTAGGCAAACTGAGGCCCTCTGAACTTGCCGAAGCCGCGAGGACCGTATGTGGTGGATCCAAAGGTCTGGGATGACCATGGGATGACCATGAGGATAACCCACTGAAAAGATGATATGTCAACCGCGGGATGGGAAAAGTGGCCTGTCATTTGAACGGAATATTGATCACCCATGTAGCACCAGACTGCTTTCATGCCATGGTCACAGGCAAAGATCATGGCCAAGGGGCAAGCAGGTCGCGGTCTCCAAGCACCAAGCGCGTGGCCTCCTCAACATGCTCTGCAGCTGCGGCGGTGGCCGGATACGCGATGTACCAGAAGCACTCCTTAGGCAACCGCGGAAACCCATGCCCGGAAACCAGCAAGCCCTGAAGGTGAATTTCTCAGCCAGCTTAGCCAGGCCCTCTGTGGCACTCTTGCAGTCCAGGAGTCTGCCAGCACGCTTTCAAGTACGGATTGGAAAGGCATCGGTCCATCATCCTTGCAATGCAGAGACGGAAATTACAGTCTCAGTGCTTCCAACCTTTATCAGCTGTACTTTACAGAACAACTCAACAACGGCAGGTGCTCCTTCAGCAAGTTCTCCAGCGACGACTCCACACACTTGCGCACATTCAAACGAGAGTCCTGCATGTCTCAGCCATGCAAGTTCCAATCACTGAATGATCAAAGGGGACGTCTCAAGATATGGGTGCGTGTTGTTGTTGTTTTTGGGGGGTACCTTGTTTTGGTGATTTCAAAGGGAAACCGAAGGGAAAACCCACCATGTCTGGGGTCCAGTAAAGAAGGACACCCACATGGATGAGGAGGTTCGAAACAAACCAATTGGAAAGCCTGACAATCAAACATGAGCATGGCACAGCTCCAATATTACCAGGCCACGGCTCCTTTGTCAGCTGCTCCAGAAAAACTTGCGCCCAGTCAGACTGGAAGTTCAGGCGGAGACGCAGTTTGGAGGACCTCAGACATCCGGCGTACGTCTAGCCAAGGCTGTCAAGAGATTCAGCAGCTTCCTTCCAGTGGTGGCAACGCAACAATGCGATGTTTGCTCGCAAGCCTGAAATGTGCTCAGAACGCGCATCATGAACTTCCCCCATCCATCCATCGCTCGATCTTCAAAACCCCAAGGCGAACCCCGCTCCAAGCGCGCCCGAGGCGCGCCAGCAGGTGCCGCGAGCCGTGCAGCAGCAGCAGGGCGCGGCGGTCCGCCCGCAGCCCAGCAGCCCGGTGCCGCAGCAGCTCCGTGTGGGGCGAGTCCGCCCTCAGCTGAAGCACCAGCACTGAGCCTAGCCGCGCGACTGCGGGGCTTGGTGGGGCATTGGGGCAGCGACACTTGCTGGAAGTCAAGCCTACCAGTTCAAGCGCGTTGTAGAAACAGCCTCCTTTTGCTTCCCCTGAATGGTACCAGGGTCCTTTGTCTTCAACAAATTGCGCCCAACATGACACTTTTGGGACCCATGGCCACATTCCCATCCCATCAAATTCCACCCCACTGAGTTGATACCCCAAACGACGACGACCCAAACGCCCCAAACGCCGCCCACGCGCCCCGCCTGCAGGCAGCGGGGCCTCATTGAACTCCTCCAGCTTTTGGATGAGGTCCAGCTCCGAGGTGAGCGCGTCCACCGCCAGGCAACGGAAGGCCGGGACCCCGCCCAGCACCGGACCCAGGTCCACCTGATCGACGACAAATTGCGCTGACTCTTCCTGGTCTCTGAAGGCAAAATGAGTATAAGCGTCCTGGTTTTCGCAGAAACATCTCTAGACTCCTGGATACTTTGAGGGCGCCGACGCAAAAGCGTCGCAACCTTGCAACGGTCCTTTACAGAAATGGACCACACGGTTTGCACCCCGCAATGTAGTTTGACTGAACCCCGCCTGCAGCGGCGACGTGGTGAGCACCAGCGCAAACCGGACCGCGGCCCCCTCCGGCGCGTTCTGCCAGCCGTTGGAGAGCAGCCAGTCCTGCAAAAGCTTGGGGCAACCAACCGTTGAAACTCATATGAAAACCACAATTGTTCACACGGCCTCTTCTTATGGTTTCTCCCCAAGCTCCCCAGAGTCTGTTCAAACACGTGTCCTGCAAGGACTGCGGCTGGGCGAAGAAGTGCTCCCGCCACTCCTTGGCCTCTTCCTTGGCCTCGTGCGCCCAGAGCGACAGCTCCGTCGCCCTCAGCATGCCGTCCAAGGAGGCGACGGCCGCCAACTCGCGCCAGGCCTCCGACACCAGGCGCGCAGGCGAAAGCTGGCGGTCGCCCCTCTGTGCCACGTGGTTCACCAGCGAGGCGGCCGTCTCCAGGCCCCAACCCACGAAGAGCTTCCGCACCTCGTGCGACGCGTTCCCGGAAGAGCCTGGTGGCTGGGCGGCCACTCCTGCCAGCCTCTCGAGCTCCTGCACAGCCCGGCGCTGGACAGGGTCGGTGACCAGGTCGTTGATGCCAACCTGTCCCACCCCGAAAGCTTCATGAAATCTACACCAGCCCAGGTTTGGGCCAAACATCCAGTCCAGGTTTAGACCAACTACTCCAAAACATAGTCCCCAAGCTCCGACAAGCGGCACAGTGCTTCTCGAAGCGATTCAAGAACGCCGCGTCGGCGGTCTGCAGCTCTGCCGCATCCTGGAGCACAACACAGCGAAAGTCTTCGTTCACCTCAGCCAAGATGTCTTTGTCGCCCAGCGCAATGCGGCAAAGCTTCTTGTTGTCCAAAGAGGTGTAGCTCATGTTCAGCATGTCGTACAGGCTGCCGTGGATGGTATCCAAAGCTCGCATGACCAGGATGTCGCCCCTCTCCATGCTCAAAACAATCCGCTTGAGCAGTCCAAATGAGTAGAGGTCCTTGGCACGATTTGGAAAAATGCTGCGTGCAACTTCAGACACCATGGATCAAGCAGGGTTTGCTGCAACCGAGCATCGGATTTGTCCTCCTGAAACGTTGAGCCCATCATGATCTGCAGATGTTTGTTTTGACGGTCTGCCGCTTGGCGAACCAATTCCAGCGCCACCTGCACCTCGCCCTCGCAAACCAAAAGCAAGTGCCGCGCGCTCTGCTTGTCTCGAAGGTTCTCTTCCAGCATGTCAACTACACTGATGGGCCACGACGCACAACTCGGCGGCAAGCCCAACCTACGACTGTTCTTTTGCAAGAAGGGGCATCGAGCAAACGCGTCACTGCCGCCATAGAACGACTGCCCAGGATTCCCCGTGATGTCAAAGGGCAAGCCCCCAAAGTTGCGGCACACCGCTTGGAAGATTGCGCGTGGCCTGCGCGCGTGGGGCTAAAACGATCTCTCTTGAATCGCGCCAAGATGGAACGTGAGTCACAATTAACACCTGTCATTGAAGTAGTCTGCCCAAAATTATGAAACAAATCAAAGGGCGGCTACATTCAGGGATAGGACTTTGCCCCCACCAACGGTCACTTGCCCTGCTTTAAAATGATCCTTCCTGCCTTTTGTCCAGCTGCCTGGGCCATTTCACCGCGAGAGTTTTGGCCAAGAAATAGAAATCTCGCAAGCCGTGGAAGTCAGGAGTCGGCTGTTCCTCGAAAGGGGGGACAAGGTCCACGCCCTGTGGAACTGTTCCGAACGTTGATCGGGCTTGCCAGACAACGGCTCATTTGGGTCGTAGCTTCTGAGTCATTTTGGCCGTACTTAGTTTCGCCGCTCATTCTTGTCGTAGTTGCTGAATCAAATCTGTCGCAGTTCTCGCTCATTGTGGTCGTAGTTAGGCCAAATCATGTTCACTCAACTGAACTGGACTCGACTCAACCCAACTCAACTTCATTAGCCAGCGAATGCGTCTAAAAAATCATTCGTGTTGCGGGGAGGGTCTAGAACGATTCTTAAACAGGACACAAACTAAAATGACTCTTGGGGCCGATTCCAAAAACTGGCGAAACAACTCTCAAACTAGGACCAAAAACCATACCGCGCCCGTGCCAGCCCCTCTCATGCTTTCGCAAAGTCCTGATAGTACGCACAGTAGGCAATGGCCAACTGCTCACGAAGTTCCTTTTCCATTTCAAGGGGAGTCCTCTCGCCTGATCCAGCAGGCAAAAAAACAAGCAAATCATTTGCTGTGCGATGTGTGTTACTCTGTTGCGCCAGGTCACATAATGCTTCCAATGTCTTCTGCAGGTCGGACTTGTTGGGCGGCGGCCGCACGAGGGCAATGCCTCGGTTCATCTTTGCTGCGTCCAAGGGGAAGTTGGATAGCCCAACCACTGCATAGTCAGGCCGGTCTTTGGGATAGCCCGGCTCCAAATAGGCGTGCAAGACCTTGAGAGGGTTGTTCGGACTTGCTTCTGCTAACCCAATCTCATCAAAGTGCACCAACACCTCGCTGTTCCCTTGCGAAAGTTGTTTTTTCTTGTACTGCTCGGCTTTCTCAAAGACCTTCGTCACGCCTTCGCTAGTGGAGACGTCTGAGCCTTGATAGGAGATCACGTAGATGCGGGGATAGCGCCTCCAAAGCTCGTGCTGGGAATCACTGCCGCGCAAATTCGCGTGGATGATGCGCAACGCCAACGACTTGGAGTTTCCCGGCTTGCCCACCACAAACACGGGGATGCGGTTCAAAATGCAAACCATCATCACCTTGGACCAAGCAAAGCATTCAACGTCACAATTGTCAAGGCAGTTTGCCGGAATCAATTCCGGCGCAATTGCAGGACTAAGGCGTGAGCAAACACGTTTTCCAGCAATGCATCATTGAGAGCAGTCATTTTAGGAGGCGTCATGTGGTGCAAATATGCTTTCATCTCATCCATCACGAGACAGTTGATGACGTCTCCATCATGCCAGTCCCTCATGAAGGACTTCCGAGGTACCTCTTTGCGATGATAGGTCAAAATCTGAGCGACTCGCGCACGGTACTCATTGCGAATTTTGCGCGTCGGCAAGCGGCAGTGGTATGATACTGCCAGCGCGTTCAGCACTGCCCGTAACCTCCGCCCCTCCTCTGTAAGCGGCGTGTTGTCGGGAAGTTCGCGCTTGTGTTGCCTCGACTTTGCCCGCTCTCTGTGCGTCAAATTATCCTGGCCAACCAAAATTCAGCGGCCCTTCATGTCATGGCCAAACGCATGATAGTGCAATGCGTGAATGTGTGCATTGTGCATTGCAAGCCCTTCCTGGAACCAACGAATGAGCTCCACCGTGCGCTTCACGTCGCGGAGGCTCAACAGGCAGTCCGGCTGGTGTTCGGAAGTGAACTGTTGAGAAAATAGGATGAGCTCGCACACACAGGCACACCATCCTCGGTCAGCACCTGTGACCAAGTTGGGGTTGAAAACCGGCTGCACCATTGCCTTGACGTAGCTCTCCTCCTCCTTCTCGCCCAGAAATCCGAAGTCATACAGGTAGTCGTACATCGTCTCTGGAAGCTCCTGTCTCACACGAGACAGGGAGCAACACACCGCCAAAAGACGAAACCGGTTTCTTTCTGCATGCTTCGGAGGCCTTTACATCTTTCATCGGCAGAGTCAAAGGCAAGAACTAGAGACCCGCCTGTGCGTGTGTGTGTGTGCGCACGCATATGCGCAAGGACATGCGACGTGCGGTAGTTGGTAGTTGTGAATATGCGGATGTGCGTGCGAGTGCGGGTGCAGGTGCGGGTGCGTTCGCATTTTTTCTGCGCAGGCATGTTGAAGGCAAGGCATGCGCGTGTCCGCGTCATCTGTGTCTGCAGCTGTTTCTGTATGGATCTGGGTGTAGTGGTCCTTGTCGTTGTGTCACATACGTACAAACACGTTTCGATGGTTAGTGTTATTCTTGAATGTCCGTGTCTCCGCCATTTCCTGGTGACCACCCCACCCCGCACGAGCTCCTGCACGCTATAGACCAGGCTGGACATCTTCCTCTTCCTGCTCGTGTCCTGGCTGCTTGTCTGACTCTGTGGATACTCCAATCGGATGAAGAAAAAAACTCGCTCATGGCAAAGTGATGCTGGCAAAGATGCAATTTTGCTGAGTGCAAATCAGCGTCGCTCAAGACCAACTCAGCCTGCGCTGCCGCCATCTCGCGGCTCAGCTGAGGCTTCTTGCGGTATGGGTTGCCTGGCGCCAGCCGCTTTCCAATTTCATCTGCGTTTAACAAATTGACATAACAGAACAGGCAAACAGACCACTGCTCAGCCCAGCTCGATATGCGGTCCAGGCACAAGCAGCCAACAGAACCAAGCTGTCTGGCAAAGGACTGCCCAGCAAGCGGTGATGGCACATGATCTCGGTCACCAAGCCCATGTGCTCGCAGGTGTTCACCTCGTCCAAGAATGCCCAGGTCTGAGCCTGCCTGCTCTCACCAGCGCATCGTTGGACAAAGTTGATGATGTCCTCCGCAGACGTCCCCGCGTGAACGTTGAGGCAGTTGAACTTCACTGACAGGAGCTTGGCAAGATGCCGGATCAGCGAAGTCTTTCCGCAGCCGGTCTCTCCCATGATGATCACGGGCACACAACTTTCCACCCGCAAGGCGATCCAGACCATCTTCACAAAATTATCCGGACTCACCACATAGCTGCTGCCCTCTGCTGGCTTGCCCAACTCCTTGCCCAGAGGCAAGATCATCCTCCCCAACCGCTCCTGGCAGCGGCACGCGTGGCGCGCGCCAGTCAAAGAAACGATTTGTCGCATCTGGCTCTCCCCCAAAACTGGGTGGGTTTCACCTTCTCCACGACCCCAAAAAGGCGGTACCTGCGGTACAAAAGAAGAAGAAAAAGAAAAAGACATGAGACCCATCTTAAGACGTCTCCCCCCCTTTTCCCCTGCGCCTCCAGTTCTCGTGTGCTCATGGACTCGAAGCACGGCAAGCGCTGGCCGTTGGCTTGCGACCGGAAGAGCTTCGCCACGGTCTCCAGCACGTCGCTCTCCTGGCGGCACGGCTATTCGGAGTGCTATTCGGACTGAAGCGCAGACGCGAACCGTGAGGGGTGTTCCACATGGCTGGGGGGGGTCATGTCCCTCAGAATCCTTGGTTTTTCAGTTTTTTTTCAGTTGTTTTCAGTGTTTTTTTTCATTTTGTTCATGGTTTTCAGTTTTTTCAGTTTTTTGCAGTTTGTTCAGTTTTGCAGAGAGTTTCTTGTCTGAATTGTATTGAGGAATTGCCAGAGAGTTTCCAATTTGTTTCCGGAAAGTAGCGGCCACCTCCGTGTTTTAAGTCTTCCTTGGGGGCAAGACAAACAACGTAGCGCTGAGTCTCTGTGTGCCAAAGAAACAGCACACAGACACCAAGCGAGGTTCGGCAATGCCAAGGCTGCTCGGGGACCGAAGCTTGTGATACTTCGTGCGACAACGACAGCAACAACAGCGACAACAGCAACAGCGACAGCTACAGCCACACCAGCCTAAGCAACAGCAACAGCAACAACGAGCGTGCACTCACTGAGCGGGCCCAGAGCAGAGCCAACAGGCAGGTGGCTCCCCCCTTTCTGATGCATCGCTCACCTTGAGCTGGCAACTTCTCGCTCAATGCTTCCCGCTCCTTGCGGTAGACAAGCGACAGCGTCTGGCGGTCAAAGCGGTTGAAGAGGAGCAGTGGCTTCGTCTCTGACCAGCGCACCATGCCCTCACGAAATAGATTCAGATGCTGTCAATGAAAAGCAACATCCTGACTTCCCAACATGTCAAAGTCAAGCATCGCAGTGCAGCCCAACCGACTCTCGCGCCTGGAATGCCTCAGCAGCACCTGGAGGCTGATCGGCGTGTTGCCGTCGCTGTCGCAACTTGCCAGCTGTCACGGCGCGCGTGGTGAAGCTAATGCACGCCTTGACAGGAAAATGCCCTCGCCTAAGACACCACCGCAAGGCCAGTTCCCAGTTCGCGCCCCGTTTGAAACACAACCTGCACACGCCGTTTCTGATGCACCCTCCGCCCTCCCGACGCACCGCGCCTCAATCAGCTGCTCCACCAGCTGGGTGCGGAGGCTGGCTGGGAGCTGCAGCTGCTTCAGGGTCTTGGGATCGAAGTAGGCCGAGTGCCCGAAGCTCACCAGCTGCGGCGCCAGAACCCGCAGAACCGTGTGCACCAGCGCGTAGGAGGGACCTGAGGAGAGAATCCCAGAGGAGAGGAGAGGAGAGGAGAGGGGGCAACAAGGGGGCGACGGGGCCTGGAGACAACGAACGCGCTGGCTCCATGTTCGTATTCCCCGCCTTGGAGGCGCCTGACAATGTACTCCTGCAACAGATCGAGGCATCGGGTTGCTGGAAGGGACACGGGGTCTTCCAGGCGCAAGGGCTGGGAGTCCAGCCTGCGGTCGTGCAGCGCATCCAGCACGCGGCAGACCACTTGGGCGGGACTGCGGGGTGCCCGGCACACCTGGAACGAGTCCAAGGAGAAGCGCACGGCTTTCGGCGACACCAAGTTGCAGAAGGCGAGCTTCCGCAGCACAGGGGTGGAAAGGTTCGCCAGCTCCACAAAAGTGAAGCTGCAGGGAACCACCGCGATGTCGGACTCGGCCTGAACGCAGCCCCAGAAGCTGATCTGGATCAGGAGGTCGTTCAGCAAATCCAGCTCATCTGTGGGGCCGATGTCCAAATGCAGGCAGCTGTGCGCGTGCCACTTCTGCGCCAGCAGCCTCCGGATAAAGCTGCCGAGCCTCAGTGGGCCGCTGAGGGGAACCGTGATGGGCAACTTGCGCTGGGCAAACGCCCGCTGCCGGATGGTCTCGCTTTTGCCGCACCCGGCGTCCTCAGAGACGACGCAGACCAGGTTGGGCACCAAGTGCCTCACGAAGTCCTTCAAGCCTTCTGGTGATAGTGCGTGCGCTGGCTGTGGCGGAAGCTCCTAGACCACGTGAAATTCCAAATCCCCAGCATTCACAGAAGCGCGCGCCTACTCCTTTGCTTCCCTCCCAACACCGCCCAGACCGGTCCCTCATCGCGTGCACTTGGGAGAGCTCTTCGCTTACGGCCACCAGCACCAGCTGGAAGGACGGCCCCAGCCCTGACTTGATGCGCTGAACCAGCAAGTGCTGCAGGGAGTAGGTCAGCCGCTCCACGTGCAAAATGCAGTACATGCCCGCGACGTGACGGCAGCGCTCCAGGAAGGCATCCAGCTGCGGCCAGGTCGTGATGCCCGAGCAGAAGAGCATCTCGTGGGCGCGCGGCAAGCTTCCCACTCCTCCGCGAAACTCGCGGAAAGCGCCAAGAACAGTCTCACACGCCAATTAAAAATGCCAGTCGCTTGAGGTCAGACACCTCTCATGATGATCAAATGTTCGTTTTTGCACTGCAGAGAAAGCTGCTGCTGCCGCCTATGCAGGTTAGCTGCTTGCAAAAACACGACGTAACAATGATGTCCGCCGACATTGCTTGGCGTGTCGGACACTTAATAGAGGATAGAGGATAGCCCCCCCCCTTACACCTACCCAAGACCTTGCCCCAGTTGGATAAAATCCCCTCAACCGACCAATCCACATAATATTTTTTCATCAATTCATAACAGAACCTCAACTCAAGATTTGATACATAATTTTTACAAATATTTTTCTAAATTTTCAAAAATATATTTTTCCAAAATCCCAAATTCCCAAAATATATTTTTCCAAAATCCCAAAATATAAAATCCCCATAATTTCAAAACATAAATCTTACAATGTTTTTATTGTAAGGTTTATGTGTTAATTTCAACTCATATTGCTTCAATATCAACAGGTGTTTCTTCAATAATAGTCGGTGTTTCCTTTTGCTTCTGATTGTTATTTATGCTTCTGAGTTTTTTTATGTTCCGACCATCTACATTTTTTAACTTTGCACTGACAAATATCACAAAATACTTCAATTTGACTATAGACTTTGCTGTATTCTTTCATTATGGCGTTTATTTCTTCCTTATGTGCTTCACGGTATCTTTTGCTTTTCTGATGTCTTTGTTCCTTATTATTCTGGTGTTTTTCCCTTTCCTTTTCCAAGCACCTTATACAATATTTATTTATTCCGTTGAATTCTTCAACTGGTTTAGTTGCATTACATCTTTTGCAATACTGTTTCTCCATAATTTACTAAGGTAATTTACCTTTAAACCTGTATCATACCATACCCAAAATCCCAAATCCCAAAATCCCCATAATTTCAATACATAAGTCTTACAATGTTTTTATTGTAAGGTTTACTAAGTATGTGTCAAATATATCCTTGAAATCTTACCCTAAAAACCGGGGTAGTTTACCCCAAATTTCAGGGTAGCAAATGTCCTTACCCAGGGTAGGGAGGCATCTTACCCCAAAATCCAGGGTACCTACCCCAAAATCCAGGGTACCTACCCCAAAATCCAAGGTACTTACCCCAAAATCTGGGGTAAGGAGGCAGGTTACCCCAGAATCCAGGGTACTTACCCCAAAATCCGGGGTAAAGAGCAAACATCCTCATGAGGGCTCATTTTGGTGCCAGAAACTCAAATTCCTTAATCCACCAAACTCGTCAAAATCTCACAAATCAATTCAGCAGGTATTTTGTATAAATCTTCCTGCTTATGAATTACATAATTATCCCCCCATTCTGCTTTAGTTTTTGATGGCAGTCGTTGCGCAGTTTCAATATGTTTATTATTCCTTATTTTTCCACAATCTCTATTACATAAATCTCTAGGTGTCCAATTCGTAATGTTATTCTGAAGTCTAGTGCGTTTTCTGTAATTAAATCCATATTTGCAATACTCAACATCTTTAAAATCAAACTCATTCATAAACTCCTGATTTTTTAATAATCCAGTTTGAGGATTTTCGATTACAACATATTTAGGATTAAAATATTTGATAATCTCAATAGTTTTTAAAACTATACTATTAGCATATTCAATATTCCTAATTCCCTTAGTTTTTGCTACACTATATTCAGTGCACGGGGGACTGCTCCAAATAAAATCAAAATGGTTTCTGTCAAATTGTTTATAATCCCATTCCAAAATATCACAATTAATATCAGCATTTTTCAAGTCTAATGAGATGACATTAAAACCTAATGACTTTGCTATGGTTCCTACACTTCCAGTTCCACTAAATAATTCTAATAAATTCATATTGTTTATTAGAATGATTTAGATAATGTTTTAGAAATATACATATTTATCATCTTCCTTAATAATCTTATAGTATTCTAATGTTTGTTCTTTTGGACTTTTGATTTGTCCCTTATTTAACATATCACAATATTTTTTACGCTTCGTGTCATAATCACCGCTGGGTCTGCCTATCCCTTTCTTTTCAAAGATTTTATCAATCTTTTCCTTCTCTTCATTGTTATCTTTTGGTTCGTTTGCCTTTGCATCAAGTTTCTGGTCAATAGTTTTTATCATCTCGTACAACAGTTTAACATTTTTACTAACTGTCATTATCTTCTTTGATAGTTCAACAATAACATCATTTTCAACTTCAGACATTTCTATATATATTTATTTATATAATTATTGATTTAAATATTTATTTATTTATAAAATTGATTTAATGTAAAATCTACTCTTTAAATACTAATTTATCCCCATTTTGTATTATAGTTGTGTTCCCAAGTTTCTTCGCGTGAGTTTCCGTTGGTTTCTTTGGTTTTCATTGTCTGAATTATTTTTATCAATCTTCCACATTTACACGGCAGGCACTTAATGTCAGCACCGTCTTTATCAACTTTGATTTCATTAGCGCGATTGTTTTGTCCTGTTTGTTCTACATACTGATAGTCGCTATAATCATAATTTTCCATTGCTGTTAGTCTGTCTTCAATCGTTTTTATATTTTCGTCCATTGCTTTACTAGTTTCTTTCTGTGTTTCTTGGTGATTTTCTATTAATTCACTCATCTGTTCTTGTTTTCCTTTTTGTTCTTTTAGTGTCTTTTCAATTTTATCTTGTCCTTTTTTCTGGTCCTGCATTAATCTAACTATTCTATTTTCTTCTTGCATTTGGTCATTAATTTTGCTTTTGACCATTTATATTAATATTTACATTTTTATTTTTGATATATTGTATTCCTAATTTTATTAATTCTAATGAACAATTGTTTAAATAATGTAAAATCTACTCTTTAAATACTATGTTATTACCCTATTAGAACTAACATTGACTAAGTGGTCATTTGTTTCTATTGTCATATCTCCGTCCTTCTTCTTCACTACACTCATTTCTTGGTCTTTCTTCTTGACTGATAACATACACGGAATACATTTAATATTAACACCGCCTTTTTTATCTACTATTAATTCATTTTGAAAGTTCATAATATGATTACATTTATCACATTTTATTTCTTTACTCACACCTAATGATTTAACACTTACTGTTGTGTCTTTCCGAGCTTCAATATCTGGCATTGGTCTTTCATTATCTAATATTGAATTTGATTTACTCTTTTTCTTTCTTGGCATTTATATTAATATTTACATTTTTATTTTTGATATATTGTATTCCTAATTTTATTAATTCTAATGTATAAAAGCATACTTTCTTACATCTGTTGTCAGTTATTATTACTTGTTCTATATTCTCTACTTCATCTATTATATCAATATAATCTGAATAACTTCTATCCATATAAATAATAAGATGAAGTAATCATTAAAAATAATTATTTGATCTTATTATTTTCATGCATAATAGAATATTGGTGGGGCACAGCACTTGGGTTTTCATTGCACACGCGAGCAAGACACAAAACTAATTATCTTCAATGCTTATTGATTGAAGCAATGGAAAGCCTGTTCCATTTTTATGATATTAACTGCCAGCATATCATAAAAAAGATGTTCCATTAATATTAAATAGAATATGTATTAAAACTATTATCTTTAGTAAGTTTTATTGCAGTTGATAGACTAACATCTTTAATATTAATATCAATAACTTCTTGTACACTATTTATCATTTCATTTGTATACATATCGGGATAATCTTTCATAAAATTTACTAACTTTCTAAAATTAAAATCTAGGTTATTGTCATTTTCAATTGAGGACTTGGATACTACGATATTTTGTTTTTAATTGCCGATAAAAAGTATAACATCGTATCATAATATATTTGTTCAGTGTCGGGCACTAAGATATCACCAAATTTATATATCCTCCGAATACTAGCCACTTCACTTAAATTTATAGATTTTATAGCCATTATGATATAATTATATTATATTTTTTATTTTATAAGTATTTATAATATTATTTTATTATGCCTGATGTAAAACCAATTGACGAAATCAAATATGACTTTAAGCAAAGTAAGCATGAGGTCGTCCCTAAATTGCCGATGAGAGCTATGATTGTGGGCCCGTCAGGCTCTGGAAAGAGCACGCTACTTGTATCAATGATACTTGATATTTATAGAGGAGCATATGAAAGAATTTTTATCTGGTCCCCATCAGTAAATTTGGATAGTATTTGGTTGCCTGTTAAAAAATACATTAAAGAAGGTTTGAAAGTAGATACTGATAAAGAACCGTGTTGGTGGGATGAGTTCAATGTTGAAGATTTAGAAAGAGTTATAGAAACTCAAAATAAAATAATTGAATACCAGAAAAAACAAGGAATGAAAAAGTTATTTAATATATTAGTTATATTGGATGATGTATCTGATAATCCAGCAATAACAAGAAATAACAAATTGTTAAATTCTTTATTCTGTAGGGGACGTCATAGTGGAATATCAACGCTTGTCAGTCTTCAAAAATCATCAACCGTGCCACCAATTATTAGAGTAAATATAAGTCATTCGTTTTATTATAAAGTTAGAAACTACAAAGAGATAGAAATATTGCAAGATGAATTATCAGCAATTGTTAGAAGCGATAATTTACACGAAAGCAAGAAATTAGTTTATAAAATATATGAAACTGCCACTGATGAACCGCATAGTTTTTTATATATTAACCTTTTAGAAAAGAACCCAGATAAAATGTTTATGAAAAAGTTCAATCAATACCTTCAAATATCAAACAAATAACATATAAAGATTTGTTAATTATAACATTTAATAGGACTGTATAATGCCAAGAAAGGAAATTGACTACTCAAAAACCCATTTTTACAAAATAGTTTGTAAAGACTTGTCTGTCAAGGACTGCTATGTAGGTCATACAACAAATTTTAAAAACAGAAAGAATAATCATAAAACTACTTGCGAGCGAGAAAAAAAGAAATGTC